TGGAGCTGCCATGCCCTCCTCCAGGGGATCTTCCTGACCCAGGGATTGAACCCACATCTTTTACATCTCCTGCATTGGCAGGTAGGTTCTTTACCACTAGCGCCACCTGGGAAGCCCTTGCGGGGCCACATCACCTCTCATTCCTGAAAGATTTTCTAGGGCCCCCAGTTCTAAGCACCTGTTATGGGCATGTTGAACTGCAGCCCTCTTTGTTTGGGAACAGGATCACTGCAGGGCTCTAGCTAAGGTGAGATCATATCCCAGCATGGCCTTCCCCCTAATCCACAATCACTGGGGTGTCCTTATAAAAGGGGGCATTTGCACACAGGCGTGCACAGGGGCTGTTCTCCCTCACAGCTCCAGAAGGAACCGACCTTGCAGACAACTTGACCAAGGACTTCCAGCTTCCATAAGTAGGGGACGACATACGTCTGCCGCTTAAGCCACCCATTCTGGCGCTTTGTTACGGCCGCCCCAGCCTCGCCCTTTCAGAGTCGGAGGGACTTCAGCGCTCGGGTCCCGGGGCACACTGAGGCCGTCCCCCAGCCCCATCCACTCACCTCCTGTCGATCATCTGGTAGCACTTTTTCAGCCAGCCAATGCCTGGCATCCTCCGCCGGGGCGTGGCGCCGTTCAGGTACACAATCATGTAATCTTCCGCCACGAGGAGCTCCAGGCTGCTGATGACGTACCTGGTCACGGGGCACAGAGGACCGGGGACCCGGCAAGACTGGCTCAGAGTCAGGAAGCCCAGTTCCCCGGGACTAAGCCCTGTGGCCCTGGTTCTTTCTCTTTCCACCTGCCCTGGCTGTGTCACACCTGTTTAGGTGTCGTTGGCTGTCCTGACATGCTTAGCCGGATAGCGGGGGAGGGGAGCAGAGGACTCCCAAACACCCCCCAAATCTGGGTCAGCGAGCACAATGATAGTAGTAGTTACTATCTTACTGAGGAGTTTTGTTTGTTTGTTTGTTTGTTTTAATTGAGTCCCTTGGACTGCAAGGAGATGAAACCAGTCGATCCTTAAAGGAAATCAACCCTGAACATTCGTTGGAAGGACTGATGCTGAAGCTGAAGCTCCAGTACTTTGGTCACTTGATGGGAAGAGCCCACTCACTGGAGAATACCCTGATGCTGGGAAAGATTGAATGCAGGGGAAGGGGACCACAGAGGATGAGATGGTTGGAGGGCATCACCAACACAATGGACATGAATTTGAGCAAACTCCAGGAGACAGTGGAGAACGGGTAAGCCTGGCACCCTGCAGTCCATGGAGTAGCAAAGAGTTGGACACAACTTAGCAACTAAACAACAATTTTTTTGAGTGTTTACTAGGTGCCAAGTGATTTATACTCTTGAACTCATCTAATGTCTCCATTAATTCTGGAATGTAAGTTTAAACAGCCCCAAATGCCCTTGGGGGACAGGTACCCACAAACAGTGGTCCACTGCACCTGACTTTAGGGGCCTGGGGTCCATCCCAGCTGTGTCTCCCCCTAAGTGATTTCCAAGAATCCTCTCCTCTTTCAGCCTCCACTTCCCCATCTATAAATCAGGGAGACTGGGCTCCCTGGTAAGTCAGGCCACTTTCTGATCTGACTGTCCATGGGTACTTCCTCTTCTCTGGCCCACCTGGCACCCTCGTCCCCTTGAGGAAGAAGGAAATCTTCATAATAATGAACATTGAAGTGGTAACGATTTGCTGAGCTCTTACTGTCATCTGCCAGGTATTTTTTATTTTTTTTTTGCCACACCAGGAGGCATATAGGATCTTAGTTCTCCGACCAGCAGTCAGACCCATGGCCCTGCATTAAGAGCCCGAGGAAGGCGTGGTCTTAACCACTGGACACCAATGGAGTCCCACCAGGTGCTTTATGCTTAATTATCTGTCTCTATCCTAGCAAAACTGTACCTGTGTGTCCTTGGGCAAGTGACTTAACCTCTCTGTGCCTCAAGCATTGCAGTCACAGAATGGGAGGCAACTGTAACTACCCCACAGGGTCTTGTTGGGGATGGAACATGTTCTCACGTACAAAGCCCTTAGCATGTGGCTACCACAGTGGGCATGCATGCTCAGTTACTTCAGTCGAGTCTGATTCTGTGCTACCCTATGGACTAGGGCCTGCCAGGATGCTCTGTCCATGGGATTCTCCGGCAAGAATACTGGAGTGGGTTGCCATGTCCTCCTCCAGGAGATCTTGCCAACCCAGGGATCAAGCCCAGATCTCTTGTGTCTCCTGCATTGGCGGGTGGATTCTTTCCCACTGAGCCACTGGGGAAGCCCACCCCATACATGCTCCATAAATACTAGTGATGATGACAACAGCACCAGTGAGGCCCAGCAGGCGAGCAGAGGACTCAGATGCAGGTCTGCCCGTGGTCCAGCCCTTCCCTGGTGCCGGGCAGAACCACCCAATGTGGTCCTTGCTGCCTCTCCTGCCCACCGGCTGGGAACCTCAGACCTGTGGACAGCTGGGATGGAGCGGCCAGGTCACTTACAGGAAGAGGTTCTCCATGATGTAGTGGTAGTCGGGGGAGCTGCTGTCCGGGAGGAAGCAGGCGGCAAAGACGATAATGGCGTTGAGACCTTCGCCGTAGTACCCTGCGGAGAGGCAGCTGGTGAGCAGCCCTGGACAGGGCTGGGCAGAGCCCTCCCAGTTCTGAGTTGCCCTGCGCTCTGCCCCATGCGTGTGTCTCATAGCTGGCCGGCCCCCTCCCACCCACTGCCCATACTCAGAGGACATAGCTCTGAGCCCCAGCAGCCTGGCTACAGAAGCCAGAAAACACCTTCCATGGGGGGATGCCAGCCACCATCATGGGCACCTCTGGTGTGCCCCCAGGCGTCTAAGCCTTGCCCCCACGTGAGTTTTATCCCTGCACACCTGGACACTACAGCTTAACATCCCCCTGGCTCAGAAGAAGAGACCGAGGTTCAGAGGACTGCTGCTGGGCCCTCCAGTTGTCGGAGCCGGGAAGGGGCCCTCGGGGCATGGGCTCACCTCCGTGGGTCACCACCCTCATGTAGGGCCGGATCATGTGTAGATCGATCCGGTGTTCCTGTTCCCCAATGATCACCGTCCTCCACAGACGCCCGTTGGCTGCGCTGCCATCCTCCGCCGAACCGTCCCCAAACAGATCCGCGCTGTCCCCGGGCATGTTCTTGGCGGCGGCCACGGGGGTGTCATCTGGAGGAGGGCAGCAGGGAGGGTGAGCAGGAGGGATGCCTGAATCTGGACATCTTGTCCCAGCCTCCCTCTCTGGGCTGCCTTGGCCACCCGTGGCCACAGAGCCTCTTAGTCTCCTCCCCAGGCCAGAGGAAGACCACTCATCTCATCCTTTTTCTGGGTAGAACCCCTTTCTTGCTGTGTGACCTTGCACACATTTTTTCCCTCTCTGGGCTTCTCGGGGGTTCTTAACCACTCTTGAAATTATCTGTCTCTTGCCCATCTGTCACCCTGGAATCTTCCTGCCTCAGAAAATAGCCTGACTGTTTTCCCAGCTGCTCAGGCCCCAAACCCAGCTACCATCTTAGACCTCTTTCCCCTTCATATTTCACATCCACCCAACAAATGCTGTGCCTCTGCTTCCATCCCCATGGACACCACCATTGCTACCTTTTTGAAGAGTACTTATGTGGTTGTGCCCTCTTAGTTGCAGCATGCAGGATCTTTAGTTGCAGCATGCAGAATCTAGTTTCCTGACCAGGGATCGAACCTGGGCCCCCTGCATTGGGAGCATGGGGTCTTAGTCACTGGACCACCAGGGAAATTCCCTGTTGCTATCTTTCTGACCTGTGTTCTTGCCTTGGAATATCAGCTCCAGTAATACCCACCCAGCGAGGCCAGTCCCAACAACCCTGCAGAAGAACCCTCCCCACCCTAGGAAGCCTGGTTCAGGGTGTCTTGGGCTGGGCACTATGGACATTTAGGGCCAGTCACTGTCTGTGGGGGGTGTCCCGGGCACTACAGGGTGTGGAGCAGCATCCCTGATCCCACCCCCTTGATGCCAGGATCCCCCCAGTTGTGACAACCACAGATGCCCCCAAACGTGGCCCAGTGTCCCATGGGAGGGTTGAATTGCCTCAATGAGCCCCCCCCCGCCCTCTCCCATCACCTATTTCTCCCACACCACCAGCGACCAGGTGCAATTACCTTGTATCCATTTGTTCTGTTACCCAGAGCCCCGCTTTCTGACTGCCCTGAGAGCAGGCAGGCACCGTGTTTTCCTGACGGGTCCCTGCCCTCTCTACCCTACCCCCACACGGCAATCAAGACCCTCTCCACAGACACCTGTGGAATCAGGGGGTGGCCCCTCCTTCTGGTCTTGAGCACCTTTGATCAAGCGAATTGGGTGAAAGACACGTCTCCCAGCAAAGTCCACAAGTCCACGAGAAAATGCACGTGGAGTCCCAGGGCCTGTTTTGGGAGTCTTGGGTTGGAAGCTCCACTCCAGGACTTCCCTGGTGAGCCGGTGGTTAAGACTCCATGCTTCCAATGCAGGGGGAACAAGTTCCATCCCTGGTCTGGGAACTAAAATGCTACACAGCGTGGCCAAAAAAGAACCCCAAAAAACAATAAAAGAAGCCCTGCCTACCTTGAACCTCTGGGGAGGGAGGAGGGGGGACTCTGGCAAGATGGCCCCAGAAGCCAAGAGGAGCACTGGGGTCCAATCTGGGGGTCGGGTAGAGATGGTGAGTGACCAACCTTACCTTCCCACTCCAGCTCATTGCCGTTCCCCAGGAACTCCAGTGAGTCAGTCTCATCAGGGGTCTCGATGTCATCCACGTTGATGTCCAGGTCATCGGGGGTGTCCAGGAAGTCATCTGACAGCAGGGAGCCCTCACTCTGGTCCAGGGAAATGTTGATCTCAGGGGCCACCAGCGTCTTTCGCTTACGATGAGCCCCGTTGAAGTTCAGCGTGTTGGGAGGGGCTGTGGGGGAAAGGGAAAGTCAAAGCAAAACCAGATCAGTCGCTTGTTTTTTCTTCCCCTTCTCCTGTTCCAGACCCTACAGAGATCTGCTCTGCCCTGCCATGGGGAGTGCTTAGAAATCAAACAACATCCTTTCACAGCAGCGGTTAATGGAACCATCCAGCTCGGAGGTCAAGGGCAGACACTTGGACATTGGACAGTCCTGGGTTCAGAGCCTGACCTTGCTACCCACCAGCTCTGCGACCCTGCAATGCCACCTTGCCCTGAGCTTGATTCAGTTTTACCATCTGCAAAATGAGACTCACAGGTGAGTCGAGTCAAGGTCAAACGATGACATGGGGATTAGACCCCAGGCAGCCTGGTCTCCAGATCGAGCTCCAGCCCTGCCAGTATCTGCGCCTTTTTTTCCTTCTGGCTAAGGCTGATGGAGAATGTCCGAGTTCTGCTCTTGCCTTTCTGGGATGTGTAACTCTAACAATTAACTTTTAGGGATCACATAACACAGGCCAGGCCCTCTGCCAAGCCCTAGCCCACGTTTTCATGTTCCGACTTCTCTAGACAGATATGCGTGCTCAGTCGAGTCTGACTGTTTTCCACCCCATGGCCTGTAGCCTGCCAGGCTCCTCTATCCATGGGATTCTCCAGGCAAGAATACTGAAGTAGGTTGCCCTGCTGTCCTCCAGGGGATCTTCCCGACCCAGGGATCGAATCTGTGTCTCTGGTGTCTCCTGGATCTCCTGCATTGGCAGGAGTCAGTTGCAGCCTTGCTACTGCCCCGTTGGACAGGTGAGTAAACTGAGGTACAGGGAGGCAGGATCTTCCCATGTCACTCTGAAGCCCGTGGGGGTGGATATTCCCCATGGCTTGGACCACTTCCTCCTAAAGACTCTTAGCCTGGACTCTGGTCTCCTTATAAAAGGTGGTTTCACCTCCTGGGCTGCCCTCAAAGGGTTAAAACCATCTAACAGCCCTTGGAGCAGAGGTAACCCCTCAGGCTTATGGGGTTTACAAGGGGAGGAGCCACCCCCTCCCCCAAAGGCAGCTCTGGGAAAAGAGGCTGACCTTCCAGAGACCCCAGAAATTCTCCCTGTTTCATTACACAGCCTTTGAAGACAAAATCAATAAACCAGTAGGAGAGTCCCTCACCAACCCAACGGACATGAGTCTGAGCAAACCCCAGAAGATAGTGAAGGACAGGGGATCCTGGTGTGCTGCAGTCCGTGGAGTCGCAGAGAGTTGGACACGACTGAGCGACTGAACAACATCAAGGAGAATCTCACCCCTCTTTTATACTGGATGACATTCATAGATCCGTAATTAAATGGACCACGTGTTTTTTAAAGTATTTATTTTTATTTATGTATTTGACTGTGCTAGGTCTTACTTGCAGCATGTGGGATCTAGTTCCCTGACCAGGGATTAGACCTGTGTCCCCTGCATTGGGAGCTTGGAGTCAGCCACTGAACCACCAGGGAAATCCTTGGACTACCTCTTTTTTTTTCAATTTGAAACCCAATTTTCTTTTTCCACTTTGAATCTCTCGATCCCTAAGCAACAGGTCAGACTGCTTCAAGAGACACTGTGGGATAGAAATATGCATTTTGGCAGAACATTATAAAGATGCAAGTTACAGACCTCCCTGGTGGTCTAGTGGTTAGGAATCTGCCTGCTAGGGAAGATCCCACATGCCTCAGATCAACTAAGCCGGAGCACCACAATTACTAAGCCTGCAGTCTAGAGCCTGTGCTCTGCAACAAGAGAAGCCACAGAAATGAAAAGCCTGCATACTGCAAATAGAGAGTAGCCCCCGCTTGCTGCAACTAGGGAAAGCCCTTGCACAGCAATGAAGGCCTAGCACAGCCAAAAATAAATAAATAAATACAATGAAAAAAAAAAGTAATAAAAAACCCCGTAAGTCACATTTACTGAGTGTCTGCTATGTGTGAGGCACTGGCATAATTTCCTGCTCTCACCATGACTTTGTGTGGTGGGAAATATTACCCATTTTACAGATGGGGACGTTGAGGCAGGGACGTTCCCAGGGAAGGACCTTCCCAGTTCTCTCAACTTACCCTGCCTTTTTCACGGGAAGTGTGTTGGGAGCAGTGAATCAGGCATGCTTGATTTAAAATACTGCTTAACCTGGTGGTCCAGTGCTTAAGAATCTGTCTTTCAGTGCAGGGAATTTTGTTTGATTCTGGCTTCCCTGGTGGCTCAGATGGTAAAGAACCTGCCCACAATGCAGGAGACTGGAGTTCAATCCCTGGGTCAGGAAGATCCCCCGGAGAAGGGCATGGCAACCCACCCCAGCATTCTTGCTTGGAGAATTCCACGGACAGAGGCGCCTGGCGGGCTGCAGTCCATGGGGTCGCAAAGAGTTGGACATGACTGAGTGACTATTTTCATTCATTCATTCTTCCAGGAACTAAGATCCCACATGCCATGGAACAAATAAACCTGTGCACCACAACTAAGACACAACCCACTCAAAGAAATAAATATGTTAAAAAGAATACTGCTGCTTTTGCTGGTGGGATCAGTTTGTGGATCGCAGCATGGTGACTGCAAGATTGAAAATGCAGGGAACCTTCGAGGCAGTAATGTCACCACGTGGACCTGGAGGAAAGGGCACTGAACCAAAGAGGATGATTCTTCAGCCTTAAAATGTAATGGAATTTGCCTTTAAAAAAAATCTAGTGGAATTTGCCCTGCCAAATTTCAGACTCGCTGGGACTCATGACCCCTTCGTCCTTCCAATTTCTCCCATTTGCAGTGGGAATATCTATTGTGTGCCTGTCTCACCTTTGTACTTTGGAAGCAGAGAAATTGCTTGATTTCGTAGGTTCACAGTTGCAGAGGAATTTTGCCCCAGGATGAATCATACCTGAGTTCCCTGCCCTGATGCCCCCATACCTTGAACCCTTCAACTGATTAAATGTGACCCACCCATACAATGACAGGCAATCTGCTTTATTCAAAGTGCATGAATTTAAATATAAATCTCGTTTAGAAAACACCCTCAATGGAAGTATCTAGAATCATGTTTGATCATGTAGCTGGCTACCATGGGCCAATCAAGTGAATCCATGCAATTAACGATCACATCCCCCATCTCAAATTTCTTAAAATTTTTTTAAATTAATTATTTATTTGCTTATTTATTTTTGCCTGCACTGGGTCTTGTTGCTGCATGCAGGCTTTCTCTAGTTGCAGCAAGCAGAGGCTACTCTAGTTGCGGTGTGCAGGCTTCTCACTGAGGTGGGTTCTCTTGTTGCTGAGCACGGGCTCTAGAGTGTGGGCTAGGTAGTTGTGGTGCATGGGTTTAGTTGCTCCACAGCATGTGGGATCTTCCCGGATCAGGGATTGAACCCATGTCTCCTGCACTGGCAGGTGGATTCTTTACCACTGAGCCACCAGGGAGGTCCCTCAAGTTCCTTAACTTAATCCTATCTGCAAAATTGCTTTTGCCACCTGAGGGAACACTCGTGGTTTCCTAGAATTAGAATCTGGATTCCTTTGGGGGCCATCATTGAGGCAGTCACACCTAGGAAGTGAGGTACTGTTACCACACACCCCTCGTTTTACAGAAGTGGGAAACAGAGACCCAGAAGGGAGAAGGGAATCACCCAAGGTCACCCTGTAGGGATGTGACAACACCGGGCAGAGAATATATGCTCAGGTGGAAAAAATGGCTGGTGCTCTAGGGTGACCAGCCATTCAGATCCATAAAGTTGGACCCCAGAGAACTGGGACAACTTGATCCCCCTACCTGGCTCATGGGCATAGTATGCTATGGGGGTAGGCAGAGTTGGTACTCGCTGCTGTGTGACCTCAGGGATGTGGCTGTCCCTCTCTGAGCAGTCCTTCCCCTCTAGGGTGGGCTCTGTGATGGGCTGCATGGGGGAGATGCAGGCAGAGTGGGAACTCTCAGCAGGACTCTGCCAGGAGATGACATCGAGGAGAACATGTGTTTGGCATAACCCATCTGGCTGCCCTAGACCTCCTGTTTTCAAAGTCTAGGCCTTTGGGTCCTCAGAGCCATGAGCCCTCTAGAGTGCTCAGGGCAGGAGAGCCCCCTGATTTTATGCCTGGCATTCCCCTGGGCACTTTACATAAATCATCTCATTTAATCCTTGTATACCCCTTCTGTGGAAGGCTCACTACCTGCATTTAGTACATAAGGAATTGGAGGCACACAGAGGCTGAGCCACCACTTCAAGGACACACAGCAACACCACACACTGACTTCACGATGGTGACCACACACATCTCTGGGTCACCACCACAGTTGCTTCTCCCCTACAGGCCTTGGAGCTGAACAACCCCCTTTTGTGACATTCCACCCAGGAGGCATGGCCTCTGACATTTCTACAGTTACAGTCCTGGGCAGAGCCCAGATCGTGTACCCATTTCTGCACACATGGAAACTTACAGGACGTGTCTTCTGTGGGGCTGCCAAGCAAGTCCATCCCCGTCTCTTCCGGGAGTGGCCTGCAGACCCAGCCAGGAGTGGACGCCAGCCACCAGGCACCACAAGTCCAGCCGCAGAAGCGTGGAGTTCAGACAGAATGAAAGCAACAGAATTTGTTTAGTTTTGGGAAATCATTGGGAGAAAATACATCTGTTCATGAGCATAGAAAAATCACACACCATCAGCGCCAGAGGGCTCTCATCAGGACATCTAACAAATATTAAGTCTTTTTTTAATACTTTTTTTTTTGATATGGACCATTTGTTGGGCTTTCCTGGTGACTCAGATAGTAAAGAATCAGCCTGCAATGCAAGAGACCCGGGTTCGATCCCTGAGTCAGGAAGATCCCCTGGAGGAGAGCATGGAAACCCACTCCAGTATTCTTGCCTGGAGAATATCATGGATAGAGGAGCCTGGTAGGCTGCAGTCCATGGCGGGGCAAAGAGTCAGACATGACTGAAGCCTCTAACATACACACATATTGAATTTGTTACAATATTGCTCCTTTTTGTTTTTTTTTTTTAAATGTTTTTATTTATTTATTTTTTTGCCGCATGTGGGATCTTAGCTTTCCCACTAGGGATAGAACACTTGCCCCTGCATTGGAAGGTGAACCAGGAAGTCCCATAAACCTTTTTTTTGGATAGTAAAAGCTGGGGCCTAGAGAAAAGGAGGGTCTCATCTATATTATATTTGGAATATAAGCAGCATTCTTCACGGGCTGACCCCACAGGGGTCTCCGATAAGCCAGAAATTGTCCAATAGACAAAGCAGACAACTGAGAGAGCTCTCCATGGCCCATGCTGGACAGGCCTGACCAACGAAACATATCATGAAGTATTGGCTGGTGATTCAAAGTACAAAATAAAACATCCATGAGTCCATATAGAAGTAAGCAAGTGACTGAATAAATAAACATGGGGAGAAGAGACAAATTTTTCTTGCACAGAAGAATTTCAAATAATGTATGTAAATTCTCTATCCCCAAGGAGATGGAGAGTAACTTCTTCTCTGTAAGCATGAGTTGGGCACGGTGACTTCCTTCCAAAGGGGACAGTATGGGAAGAAGGGAGGCGTGACTCTACAGTGGAGACACCTGACCAGCACGACCTCAGCCCGGGGATGCAGGTCAACACCAAGGAAGAGTCGTGCTGATGACAGGCACCCCAAGATGATGGATGAGACGGCCCCTCACCTGTGTCCTCCTCTCCACACCCAGCGCCCCAGTGTCACCGTGAGAAAAACACCAGATAAACTCCCATAGAGGGAAGTTCTACAAAATCTCTGACCCCAGTCCTCCTCAAAGCTGTCAAGGGCAACAACAACAAGGAAAGTCTGTGATGGACCTCCCTGGAGGTCCAGTGGTTAAGACTTCACCTACCAATGCAGGGGGCAAGGGTTCGATCCCTGGGGAGCTAAGATCCCACATGCCTCCTGGCTAGAAAACCAGAACTTAAAGCAGAAGCAGTGTTGTAACAAATTCAATAAAGAATTTTAAAATGGTCTACATCAAAAAATCTTTTTCTTTTTTAAAGTCTGAGAAATGGTCACAGCCCAGAGAAACCTAAGGAGACATCATGACTAAATGTTACATGGGATCTTGGGTAGGATCCTAGGAAAGAAAAAGAATATTAGGAGAAAATTACTATGGATATCACAGTAAATTGTGGACTTTGGTCAATAATGACATATCAATACCATTCTATTAATTGTAATATAGATATCAGTCTCATGTAAGATGTTAATTATAGGAGTGGTGTGTTTGGAAGTTTTCTGTAATATTCTTGCAACTTTTCTGTAAATCTAAAGCTACTAAAAAGTAAAATTTTAAAAACAGAAAGGCAGCCAGTTATGCATCTGTGCCCCTTTAATTGATGGAGCACGAATTTGCAAAATAAGACCTGCTTTTCCTGGCAATGCCCAGACTGTCTTTTGGACCACAGCTCCCTCTGCCTGATTCTGACCCACGTGCTCCAGCTCCTTTGCTCCCCAGGACTCAGGCAGAAGGGTTTGCAGAGTGCACGGGGCTGTCAGGGGCTCCAGTGCAGGGCCTGCTGACTCAGGGAGGCACTGCAGCGGTAATTCATCTCTACAACTCAGCAGTGCCAGCTCAGCTAAACGGGGAGCTGTTTTGACGGAGAAGGACAGTAGGGGTTTTTTTTTTTCCTTTTCGAATTGTGGTGCTGAAGAAGACTCTTGAGTCCCTTGTCAATCCTAAAGGAAATCAACCCTGAATATTCATTGGAAGGACTGATGCTGAAGCTGAAGCTCCAATACTTTGGCTGGCGAAGAGCCGGCTCATTGGAAAAGACCCTGATGCTGGGAAAGATTGAGGGCAAGAGAAGGAGGGGGCGACAGAGGAAGAGATGGTTGGATGGCATCATCAACTCAGTGGACATGAGCTTGAGCAAACTCTGGGAGATAGTGAAGGATAGCCTGGTGTGCTGCAGTCCATGGGGTTGCAAAGAGTCGGACACGACTTAGTGGCTGAACAACAACAAGTACACATTTATTCCATCTCCTCTGTTCTTCGTAAGGCATGAGCTGGCACCCTCTGCAAGATGGAATCTAATCATGCTTCTTCCTCCACACCCTTCCCCCACCCCGCCCACCCTTCTCCCATTCACCATCCTTTGAATGTTCTTTGAGTAACCACTATCTTCCAGGGGTATTGGTGGGTCTTGGAGGTAAAGGATGACATGGGTGACGCCCTGCTCTCATGGAGGTCAAAAGTCACAACTATGCAGAGGTGCAAAGGAAATGAAGACACATATCCATGCAAAAACTCATACCTGAATGCTTACAGCAGTGTGATCACACTGGAGACAACCCAAATGTCTATCAAGTGATGAACGGATAAACAAAACATGGTCCATCCACAGACTGGAATATTATTCAGCTTCGAAAAGGAGAGAAGTGCTGACACTGACTACCATGTGGAGGGACCCTGAGAACAGGATGCTCGGTGACAGAAGCCAGATGCAGAAGGACACACAGGGTGTGATTCCATTTATATGAGACGTTGAGAACAGGCAAATCCATAGACACAGAGTGGGTTTGTGGTTGCCAGGGAAATGGGGAGTGACTGCTAATGGGAATGGTTTCCTTTTGGGGTGATGGAATGTTTTAGAACTAAATAGAGTTGATGGTTGCACAACAGATGAGTTGTGCATTTAAGATGGCAATTTTTATATTATGGAAATTTCACCTCCATTTAAAAAAGCAAAAAACAAGGTTCAGATTAAGTCAGAAGGTTTTAAAGAGGCATCTTTCTTTCAGGTTGAGATAAGACAACTCACATGCCCGTTTGATGTACACGTTGCTCTGTCCCTCTGGTCTGTAGCTGACACCCATGCTCTGAACATGGGGAGGGCAGCTGGTAATTCACGAATACGTCCAGGGTTCCAGAGGACAGGAGGCACACCGCCTCCTTGCAAGGTTACCCGAAACTGTGCTCCCAAATTGCAGACTGGCAGCTGATGAACTGCCGCTAGCTCTGTCCCGCCCACACAGCATTTCACAACATTTAAAACTCACTGTCAAATCAGAGATAAGACACAAAAAGTCTGGATTTCAGTCTTTTCTTGAATCAGATCTGCCCTCCTTGTATGGGAACCACCACCAGGAGCTGACTGTCCGCCACCCCTACTCACCTGGCTGTTGGAATTTCCTTCTAGTTCCTTTTCTCATTGACTCTGCCTTCCCTGCACCCGTCAGTTTGAGGCTGAAGTCCTGTTGTGCTAGAATCAGCTAGAACCGTCATTTACCCCACGGCAGGACACTCCCTGTGTTGAAATATTGCCATCTTGTTGAAATGCATCATCTTATTTGCTCCTCACAGCATGCCTACGAGGCAGGGGGAAGACTGTTTCACAGAGGAGGAAACCAAAGTTAAACCAGGGAGAGCGGGGAGGGCTGAACCGTTTATAGTGGCTGAGCTGAGTCCAGTCACTGCCCACTACTGCCCCCTTGTGCCCAGTCTGCACATGTCCACCAGCCCCTCAGGTCCACAGTGCTACAGCTTTCAAGGCCAAGTGTTGTTCAGTTGCTAAGTTGCATCTGACTCTTTGCGACCTTATGGGCTGCAGCACGCCAGGCTTCCCTGTCCTTCACCGACTCCTGGAGCTTGCTCAAACTCATGTCCATCGAGTCGGTGATGCCATCCAACCATCTCACCTTCTGTTGCCTTCTTCTCTTCCTGCCCTCAATCTTTCCCAGCATCAGGGTCTTTTCTAATGAGTTAGCCCTTCACATCACAGGGCCAAATTACTGGGGTTAATTCCCCAAGCATCAGAAAGATCTCAGCTTCTGCAGACCTGAAACCCCTTCACGAACTCCAAGTGGATCCAGATGGCTGGATCCATGTAGCACCTGCTTTCTGTCTGTGTTGGGAAACCCAAGTGAAAAGTGGGGTCCCCCGACTCCACCAGGTGTACAGTGTGGCTTTATCCTTCTGGCATGGGTTGGCTTGCATCCCCTCAAAACGTAACTCAAGTCTGAACTCCCAGTACCTAGGAATGTGACCCATTTGGAATAGTTGCAGACATCGTTAAGTTAAGATGAAGTCATACGAGACCCACTGGTGGGCTCATAAGAAGAGGGAAGTTTGGACCCACGCACAGAGGAGAGGGCCATGGGAAGATGGAGGCAGATGCAAAATCAAAACTATAATGAGGTACCACCTCACACTGGTCCGAATGGCCATCATCAAAAAGTCTGCAAACAATACATGCTGGAGAAGGTGTGGAGGAAAGTGAACCCTCCTACACTGTTGGTGAGAATGTAAATTGGTGTAGTCACTATGAGAACAGTATGGCAGTTCCTTCAAAAACTAAAAATAGAGTCACCCTATGATCCAGCAATCCTACTCCTGGGCATATCTCCAGAGAAAACCAAAATTCTAAAAGATATATACACCCTTATGCTCATTGCAGCACTGTTTACAATGGCTAAGACATGGAAGCAACCTTAATGCCCACTGATGGATGAGTGGATGAAGAAGATGTGGGACATACAGATCACGGAATATCACAGCCATAAAAGAACAAAATGATGCCATTCGCAGCAACAAGGATTTACCTTGAGACTGTCATACCGAGTGAAGTAAGTCAGGCAGAGAAAGACAAGTATCATGATATTGCCTATATGTGGAATCTAAAAAAATGGTGCAAATGAACTTAGCTACAAAACAGAAAGAGTTACAGATGTAGAAAATAAACACGGTTATGAGAGAGTAAGTAGGGGGATAAATAGAAAGATTAAGATGGACATATGCACACTTTGGTGCTGTTGTTCAGTCGCTAAGGCAAGTCTGACCTTTGCGACTCCATGGACTGCAGCACGCCAGGCCTCCCTGTCCCTCACTATCTCCGGGGGTTTGCCCAAGTTCATGTCCATTGAACCAGTGATGCTATCCAACCATACACACTACTATACATAAAATAGGTAACTAACAAGGACCTATTGTATAGCACAGGCAACCCTACTCAGTGTAATGACCTATATGGGAACAGAATCCAAAAAAGAGTGGATACACGTATATGTATATAACTGACTCACTTTGCTGTATATCTGAAACTAACACAATGTTGGGAACCAACTACACACCAAAATTTTTTAAAAAACTAAAAAATAAAACACAAGCTTAAAAAAAACAGATGGAGGCAAGGAGTGACGCATCTACAAGCCAAAGAACAAGGATGGCCAACTACCACCCGAAGCAGGAAGAGGCAGCGAGGATCCTTCCCTAGCACCTTCAGAGGGAGCATGGCCCTGCTGACACCTTGATTTTGGATGTTTAGCCTCCAGAACTGTGAGAGAAAATGTCTCTTGTTTTAAGCCAGCTTCTGGTACTTTATTAAAGCACTATCCAAATTTCCCTCCTGGGCATTCCTTCTGGACATGACGTCTGTGAACCCTCCAACCTGACACCTATGATCTAACCAGGCTCACTTACATACCGCAGCCCCTACCATGCGAAGGTCCTCTCTGCCCCGATGCCTTTGCACATCCTGCCCCCGCTGACTAGAGGGGCCACTTCCTGCTTTCTTTGCCCAGTGAAATTGCCTAGCTTTTGAGGCTGGGTCAGTGTCCTCCAGAAGACCCTGTCTGAATCTGACCTCCACCTCACCCCTGCATTCTGCCTCTTCCTCTCTTGCTTTGGTGAGTCACAGGCCTGGCCCTGGAAGAAGCAGCCCTCAGCAAGGGTCTGTTGAAGGAAAGATTGAGTCAGGGCACATTTTGCAAGTGGCAGGGAAAGGCCAAAATCAAGAAATACCTGTCACTCAGAATCAGCTGATATTGCAATAGTTCTGGCTTCAGAGGTGGCCCCTAGACCCAGTTCTATGCTCAGGTCCTAGACTTTGTCTTAATGTTACTCATGGTGTGAAAGAAAGAAATTGGGAATAAACTGTGGGCCCCAGGACCTTTGAATATGCCTCCTGTTTCCCAAGGGGCTTCCCAGGTGGCTCAGTGGTGAAAGAATCTGTCTGTCAATGCAGGAGACACAGGTTTGATCCCTGGGTTGGGAAGATTGCCAGAAAAGGGGATGGCAACCCACTCCAGTATTATTGCCTGGGAAATCCCAGGGACCGAGGAATCTGGTGGATTATAGTCCACGGGGTCACAAAGAGTCGGACACGACTGAGCACTGCTTCCCAAACAGTGCTCCAGGGCTTCGATTGCCTTCAGATTGGCCACGCTGCCTCAGTTGCCCCTCCAGGGCTTCTCAGCTTCTGCTTCTGCCTGATCCACAGCCACCTCTGATGCAGGGTAACAGTAAAAACTCTTTCTGAGCATTAAGTAGGCTTTTCAGAGGCTCAAAGCTGGATTAGCAGCTCCAGGGCTTATAATAGGACTCTTGCAAACCTAAGTCAAGGGAACTGCAGAGAGGCCTTCAAAAATTTTAGGCAACTTTGGTGGTTTCAGACACTCAGATAAATCTACCCTTTTCTGCACTTTCTGACACCTTTTTCCATTTATGTTGTTCTGGTCTCCCCCAGCACCATCACCTCTTGGCTGGATCAGAAAGCCTTGTGGGGGAACTTCCCTGGTGGTCCCGTGGCTAATATTCCACACTCTCAGTGCAAGAGGCCTGTGTTCGATCCCTGGTCAGGGAATTAGATCCCACATGCCGCAACTACAGATCTAACCACAACTAAGACCTAGCAAGGTAAATATATATTTTTAAAAAAGAAAGCCTGGGGTTGAGAGCAGAATCACAGACCTCCCAGCCCTCGCTCCCTATCCCCCACTTCACCCCCGCCAGTCACGCTGGCTCAGTGGATGCAAACAGGATGTTCTGGACCTAACAGTGTTCTCCCAATGCCCAGTATGACTGTGTTTGG